TGCAGAACTTCCCTGACCTGGGATCAAACCTGTGACTCCTTCAGTGGAAGTGCAGAGTCTTAACCACTGGATCGCCACAGAAGTTCTGTCTTCTCATTTTCTTCCTATGCCTTTTGAAGAGCATAATTTTGAAGTCTGATTTATCAATTTTTAATTTTATGGGTTTGTGCTTTTGGTATTAGATCTAAAAATGTTTGCCAAAACCATGGTCACAAAAGTTTTCTTTTGTGTTTTCTCTAGGAGTTTTTTTTTTTTAATTTTTAGGTTTTGCCTTTAGGTCTATTTTCACTTTTAGCCAACTTATGCACATGGTGCAAAGTCTGAGTCAAGCTTCATTTTTCACATGTGGATGTCCAATTGTTTTTGCCCTATTTGTTCAAAAGACTTTTTTCTCCATGTACCAATCCCTTCCCCCTCACTGCAGCTCTTCTAGTCATTGATGCCAGCACCATAGAGCTTTCTCCATGTACAGAGGTCAGTAACACAGCAGGAACAAATGCCTCTTTTGCCTGATTCCAAAACATGTCTGTCTATGCCCAGATGAGCAAACTTTTTGGTGGAACAGTTCTTTTAGCTTTTACTTACAGCCCTTCTGTTCTCCCCAGGACTCAGACATGTGTCTACTGAGAAACGCCCCAGGAGATGGCTAAGACTTCCAAGCACAGTGCTGTGTCCAGAATTGCCCGTCCTCTCCACTGACTCTCAGATCTCCCTGGAGGCCCTTTGAACAGAGAGGGTTCGAATCCTCTTGTTGTTTAGTCGCTCAGTCGTGTCCAACTCTTTTGCCACCCCGTGGACTATAACCCACCAGACTCCTCTGTCCGTGGGATTTCCCAGGCAAGAATACTGGAGTGGGTGGCCATTTCTTTCTCCAGGGCATCTTCCCAACCCAGGGATCGAACTCACGTCTTCACACCTCCTGCATTGAATACGAGTTCTTTACCACTGAGCCGCCAGGGAAGCCCTTTGAATCCTCTGCACCTAACTAATCAGCTTCCATCAAACAGCAAGAGAATACCCTGAATAGGTAGCAGCTGCCTTTACCTTTTTGGCCGCTTTCATCTGTCATCTTCACTGGAGCCAGATCATAACCAGTGAAGGAGAAAGCACACTGTGCAAGGTATTCCAGACTTCTGCCAAGGCTTGGCTCTTGGGAATGCTTGGGAACTTGAGTCAGCATCGAACCCAGGCCCGGTCTCTTAATTTCCCATCCTCTGATCTTTCTGTTTTCTCACAGCGGCCACTCTACAGGATGGAGGATAGAGTTGGCTGCTCTTTGACATGCCAGCGAGATGAGGGGGCTCCTTAGCTAGTTACACAGTTTAACAAGAATGATGACTCACTCAGGCCCGTCTGAATGAAAAGCAAGCTTGTAAAGACAGCTGAAGTCAGAAACTGAGCTGAGGCCGGCCAATCTCTCACATGCTGCCTGAGTGTTTCTCCAGCGGAGCAACTGCTTCTCTCTGTACCTTGCTCCTCACATGTCCATTTCCTGTTTTTTCTTAGTTCTCATTCTACCAGGAGCCATTCTGATTGGCTCAGCTAGTTACTATCTCCACCCCTACTGGGTGGAGCTTTTCCCAAGAAGCCCACTTCACCAGTCACCTGCCAGTGGGTTGATAGGCTGGGTTTAGGTCAGATGCTCAGCCTGAGCCAATCAGTGGCCATTCCCAAACACCATGTAACAGGTGCTTTCCTGAGTAGGGAGCAGTGGGGCCACAGTTACAGCTAGATGGGGATCTGGGGTGTGCTGGCACCATTAAGGTTACAAGCACAATATGAGAGTTTGTCACCATACCTGAAACAGGCAGATGAGCCTGCTGAGCATTCCAGCCTACCCCCCTCTCCAGCCCCAGCCTCACTATTTCCCACTTAGCCCCACTCTGAGCTGAGCTCTGCTCCACCTGGAAATGCTGCCTTCTTTCAATCGACTGTAAACTTCTGAAGAGGAAGGCCTGTGCCTTTGTGTCTCCAGCCCCTGGTTCAATGTGATAAATTCAGAGATTTGGGATTTCCCTGGCAGTCCAGTGGTTAAGACTCTGCTTTCCAATGCAGTGGGTGCAGATTCAATCCCTGGTCAGGGAACTAAGATCCCAAATGCCTTGTAGTAAAAAAATTAAAACAGAAAACAGAAACAATATTGTAACAAGTTCAATTAAAGACCTTAAAAGTGATCCATATCATAAAATCTTTTAGGTAAAATAATTTCATAGATCCTCAAGAGGGAAAACGATTTACCCAAGGCCATTCATGGAGAGAGGGGCAAGTCACGATGGAGCCCAGGTCTTCTGTTCCTCTAGGTTCCTCTCTGCCTCCAGTAGACTCCTTGGCATCTCACTGAGATGTGACGCTAGGGTTCTGCAGTCCCAGTTCTGGGTCCGGTGAGGCTCTGGCTCTGCCCTGAGGCACATCTTCCCTTGAGGATGCAGGCCCAGCCCTGACCCCTGAGCAGCTGAGTCCATTCTAGGGGTGAACATCCTGCACTGCCTCAGGGAACCTCCAGGGGATGCTCAGAACAGACCTGCAGGTAGCCTGACCCGGAGCTTCCCAAATATTCTACTTCCCGCTATGGGCCCTATGATCCGTGAGGGCTGGAGTTCGAAAGGGATGCAGACAGGCAGGCTGACCCAGCTGCTCAGCTGAATGAGGGATCTGAGCAGCTTCAGGTGTGATTAGCGGCAGCCTCGGTCGTGTGCCTGCTCTGGGAGTGTGCACCACGACTGAAGTGGTGGGGGCTTGCAAGCTCGCCTGGGTGTGTCATGACCCGTGTGTGCCCACACTCAGCGTTGACCCCCAGGTACAATGTGACCTCAGGCATTTTACTTTCCCTCTCTGGACCTCGGTTTCCTCCACAGTTAAATGAGAGGATTAGATGGGCCCTAGAGCTCCCTCCTCTTCCTCTTTCACCACTGTTCCTTACACCCACCCCCCGCTGAACCCTCCTTCCTGTTTTCAGCAGAGCAGCAGCCTGTCCCTGCAGGCCTTCAACCGTGGGGGCCTCATCTTCTACCTCCAGTTCTTATTAAAACCTTTCTCTTGGGACATCCCAGGCGGTCCCAGTGGCTAGGACTCCACTCTCCCAGTTCAGGGAGTCCGAGTTCAATCCCTGGTCGGGGAACTAGATCCCACGTGCCTCAACTAAAGATCCCACATCCCTCAACTAAAGATCCCACGTCCCACAACTAAGACTCAGTGCAGTCAGATAAGTATATAAAAGTAAATATTTTTAAAAACCCTTTCTCTTACGGAAACATCTCGCCTAGAAGAAGGCTGGTGCGTTCTCCACTACCTTGCACATGTGTATGTGTTTATATGTAACTGTTTGTGGCTACGAGTGTGTCTGCACTTTAATGTGTATGCGATGGGCAGAGGGGAAGGGAGAGATGACAGGGTCCCCACCCAGGGAGAATGGGTCCATTTGCTTATGTTTTCCCAACACAAAGAGATAGGCTTCTAGGGCATGTACCCACACTCCAGCTGTGTAAACATTCTTCAGATATCTATTTGTAGCAAAACTCAGCCAGGTACCACCTCCTCCTCTGGGAACCCTTGCTCATAGCCCAGGACTGAGATAACCGCCCTTCTCCTGTCTTCAGGGGTCCTGTGCTGCCCTCCCACACAGCGTTTATCGCATTCTATTGACATTGTCTGTTCCCTTGCCTGCCCCATCTCTATGGTGGAAACCCTAGAGGACAGGGACCATGTCCAGCATCCCAGCACCTGGAACCTTCAGAACCTGTGTATCCCAGTAAGATACTCCACCCTCAGTGGCCCCACTTCTCGGCGCCCATCTCCGCAGGGCAGACCAAACCCAATACACCTGTGGGGCTTTCCCCTTGGGATCTCCACCCCGGGACCTTCCTGTGGCCCAGGCAAGGCTTGCTCTAACCCTGAAGATGGACGCAGCCCGGAATACAGGGTGTGGGTGACGTGACTGATCCCACCCCACCCCAGGGTTTCCACTGCAGGGAGCCTTATTCCTTTTTTTCTGAACTTTTTGGCACTGGCCTGAACCTTGCTGGCGCCCATGGGCTCTTAATATTTTCCGTTCCTGGCTGTTGTACAATATTTCACCTCAAAAATGCATCCTCCCCCCTCACCAAAGGGCGCGCCTCTCCAGTGAGAGGACCTGGCTGGGTGAGTGGAAGTGACCCACCGCAGTCTGGAGCTTGGAGGAGGCCCAGCCCAGCATGCAGAGAAAGAGGGGGCAGAAATGTCTCCCCACTTCTGGGGAGACAGGGCCAGTTACCTGAGCCAGCCTGAGGCCTCGTGGTCCCATTGGGAGCCCCTCTGGAAGCCTGGGTGCTTCCAGCAGGGTGCAGGTCTGGAGGGGACCCTCGTCCCTTTCACTTGCCCTCTGACCCCAGGCAAGTGGTTTCATTTCTCTGAGCCCAGTGTCCCCACCGTCACAGTCCCTGCCTTTCAGGGTCCTTGTGAGGCTCGAATGCCACACATTTGGATCATCCGGGAGCTTTAAAACCGGTAACTGGTGCAGGCGCGGCTCGGACAGCAGTGGTTTGTAAAGCTCTCAGGTGATTCTCATCGCATCTGAGAACCGCTGCTCTGACAGGAAAGCTCTTCAGCTGTGGCTCTGAAGAGCAAGAGTGCCACTCCCCCATGTTCCTGGGAAATATGACTCCAGGGGCGGTGGAGACCCAGCATCAGGGTGGAGGGGAAGCACTTGGAAAAGGCAGGCGAAGGGGCTGCAGGGGCAGGCAGGACCTTCCCAGCCGGCCCTGCCTGCAGACGGATGCCTCTGAGCCTCCGGCCCGGCCCAGCCACAGGCCGGGACGGACAAACCTGCCCTGGTGGCCCCTCTGCTGGGCAGCCAGGTCCTCCTGAGCGAGACCCAGCCTACCCTCCCAGACACAGGCCCTGAGCCCGGATAGCGGGCCAGAGGTGGAGGGCACTCTGCTCTGTCACCTGTCACGGCAGAGAAGGGCCGTGGTCACTGGAGAATGAAGGAGGAGAGAGCCGGAAGCCCTGGGGTTGGGGGGAGGATGTTTGGGGGCCTGGTGGGGAGAGCGACATCTGCTTTCCTCATCCTGAGGAGAGAGGATCCGCAGAAGGTTCCAGAGCCCAGAGGAAGAAAACAGCAGGAGAGCCAGGCGCCGGGGGGTGGGGGTGGCCAAGTGGAGAACAGCCTCTCCCAAGGCTGCCTGCACCCCCCGGAGCCCAGACATGGACAAAGGCAGGAGGGCAGGTTGTCTCCAAGGGCCCTACAGGCCCTGCCTGGGAGCTTCGCCCGAGTCCAGCTTCCTCAGTGGAGGCCAGAGCCTCAGCCTCCCCGGACCCCAGGTTTTCAAGGGGGCCGCGAACAGGCCGGAGCCTGGGGGGCTAGAGTGCCCGTGAGAGACTTCAGTCGTGGGAAGAAGAGGCCAGAGACCCTGTTGTAGGGTTTCCTCAGAGGCGGGGTCCCAGGCTCCTGGCCAGAGGGAGGGAAGGGGGCAGTGTGGTGTGGGGGCCCAGCACAGAAGTCGGGAAGGAGGAGACGACAGCTCAGCGGGCAGCCTGGGCCCCACCAGAAGGGAGTCTAGGAAGAGCGGAGGCCACGACCGCCACCGCAGGGAGCGCTGTGCTGTCCAGGTTTGTCTTCGGCTGAAGGCACGTTACGTGTAGGCACGGGGACGCTCTCGGGCGCCTAGAGCCGGGGCTGTGGCCTCCAGGGAAGCATGGCCCGCCTCAGCAACGCCAGAGGGAGACAGCTCAGCCCCAAGTGAGCCTGCCCCCCACTCCCTGGTAACCAGGGTGCAAAATGCAGAGAAAGTGAGCTATGGGGGTGCCCCGAAGATCTTCTGTTGCTGTCGTTGTGCCATGCAGCATGCGGAATCTTAGTTTCCCCAGCGGGGATCACACCTCCACCCCCCACCACTGTGCCCCTTGCACTGGAAGCTGAGTCTCAACCAGGGAAGTCCCTCCAAAGATCATTTTGTCCAGAGTTCTTAATCTTGGGTCCATAGATGACTTTGGGGGAGCAGAAAGGTATATATACCATTTTGAATGTGTGTATCTGCATTTTTCTGGGGACAAGTTCCATGACTTTCATCAGATTCTCAGAGAAGATTCAATAAAGATGATTTAGTAAAGAAATGTTCCCAGGAGAAACCAGTTAGGGAGAAGGGGAAGCAGGATAGTAGGGGAAGGGGAAGAATCCAGGAAAGAGTGCCATTTTGTGTGAAAACACATCCTGACTGGCAATGAAGTCAGGAATACAGTAATTACTTTAATTACAAAATATGTAATTAATTACATAATTACAAAATATGTAGTAAGTCCCCTACATACAAACTTATAAAGTGCGAACTTTCAAAGATGTGAACGTGCCCCTGTATGCCAGATGTTGTACTATACCACTGCAATTTTCAAGGTGCTGTAAAATTAAAAATATCTTCTTTATTTTTTGTTTGTTTTTATGTATAATTTTTGTAAAAAGTATTATAAATCTATTATAGTACAACACTATATAGCCAATTAGTTGGGTATGTTGTTGGACTTATGAACAACTTGGACTTATGAATGCACTCTTGGGATAGACCTCTTTTGTATGTAGGGGACTTACTGTACTCAGGCCAGAAAAAAACAAAAGCTAGAATTGAGAGGGCAATGGATTCTAACCAATGAAATTAGCTGTTAGTCTGAAGACATTGTTTGAACTTAGTGAGCTTGAGCCTCAGTTTTTCAGCCTCGTGGAAATGGGACAACATTTAGAAGTCCATGCTTACATCACTAGCTGATGGGGCCTAGGACCACTTTTATGACAATAAACTAATGTTGAATGGCCCCATGAGGCCAGGCCTGGAACTACTTTCTCTAAACTAGTTCTGAGTAAAGTAGGTACCTGAATAAAGTCAGGGGCTCTTAGGGAAAGGGGAGGGTGAATAGCCATTGGGTAGCCATTGGGAAGCAGGGCCCGCTTCACTGTGAGAAGTCCTGTGTGAACTTGAGCCAAAGGAAACACCTTAGTGCTTGGGGAGGCAGGGATGTGGGAGGAAGAAGAATCTGAACTCATTTCTGAGTCTGTATTCAGGTTCAGCTCCTAAATTGGCCCACTGAACTCATGTCTGAGTCCTACCAATGGAAATAGTGTGATTAAAAAAAAAAAAAAGGATTTCAAGGAGCAGATAAATCTGCTTTGGGGACTCATAAGGCAAAAAGAAACATTTCTTCCTCCACAGAGCTCTTTGCCTCAATCAAGGCAGGAAAACGTAGGCCACAAGAGATGCCCTATACCCTGAGGCTGTTTGTGAGTCCATAGGAGCATTGGCCTGTGGACCCAGAAATACATGAGTGGGCTTTGCAGAGACCAGAGAGGGTCCTCACCCACCTCAGTGGGTAGATGCAAAGAATGGGTGAAATTTGGTGCTCATTGTTTTGTTTTTATTCATGTAGATCCATTTATATCCTAGGCTATTGAGGCCTGTGGAGCCCAGGTTCTAAGAATGAAAAATATCTTGCATTTGGTAATTAGCAGATTCTTGGTAGTTTTAGAAACAGAAGTTTCAGTGGGGTGATGGGGCTGAAGCCAGCCTACAAAGGATCACGAAGGAAAGTTGGGAGGTGAGGAAGTAGAGACATTGTTAATTACTCCTTGGATGTGGAAAGAAGAGAAGTGGTTACATGGTGGCCAGAAAGGAGAGGAGAAGATTCTTTTTGGAATGGAAGAGACTGGGGACTTCCCTAATGGTCCAGTGGTTAGCAGTCCACCTGCCAATGCAGGGGACACAGATTCAATCCCTGGCTGCAACTACTGAAGCCTCAGCTCTAGAGCCCGCGCTCCACTATGAGAAGCCCCAGCACGGAAATTAGAGTAGCCCCCACTCGCTGTAACTAGAAGAAGCCTGTGTGCAGCAACAAAGACCCAGAGCAGTCATAAATAAATAAATAAAACTTAAATTAGTAAATGAAAGACTCTGGGTTTGTTTTTTGTTTTTTTTAAAGAAAGGAAAAAAAGGGAATGGAAGAGACTTGAGCAAGTTGTTGGGTTAAGGAGAAAAAGCCAAGAGAATGAGGTCTTATAGATATTAGAGTGAACAAAGGTGATGGAGCAAGATCCCAGAATTATGGGGAAGAATTTGTAGAGCTGGGCATCCTTCTCCAGCATGACTCAGCAGCCTAGCCAATCACAGGAGCAGAACAGGTGGACTCCAGGTATAATACAAGATTGGGCTGAGCCCAAGTGGATAGGAGTGCAAGGGAATCAGGAGTGCTGGGGAGAGAGGGATTCAAATGACCCCCAGAGGTTCAGACTGGGAAAGAAGGACGCATGATGAGAGGGGGCAAAAAGACTGGACCAGAGGTCTCCAATAAGTTTGAAACGGTCAAGGAGGCGATGTAGGGGGATTGAGATTGTCCACAAGTAGGAAGGTCAAGGGCTGTGTTAGGCTGTAGGATTTGACATTAAAGATTTCTGGGCAAGAGCATCTATACCCAAGTTATTTAACTTCTCCAAGTCTCTCAAGCTTCCAATTCATAAAATGGGACTAGAATTCCCACTCATAAAAATACTAAAAGCATTTTTTCTCTCTGGCAAAGCATATAATTGTGGTATCTTGGACATTCAGGCTCTCAATATTTGTAGAAGGATGAAGGATCATCTGTCACTTCCCCTCTATGGACCCCACTTTCCTAATCCTTACTGATGGTTTGCTTGATCCATCAGTTACTGAGGGAGGTGTGTTAACATCTCCCACTGCATTATGAATTTGTTTTTATTTTGCTTTCCTTGATTTCTCTTTTTGCTTTATCTATTTTGAAGTTGTTAAATACATACAAATGTAAGATTTATTCCATCTTACTGATGAATTAGACTTTTCAATCATTATGAAGTGACCCTGTTGTCTCTCATAATGCTTTTTTTTTTTTGGTCAAAGTCTATTTTGACTAAAATATATCATCTTTCTTTGCTTAGTATTTGGCAGATTTTTTCATCCTTTTACTTTTAATCTTTCTGTATTATATTTTAGATACACCTCTATAATAGCTTATAGCTGGATTCATTTACCTTGTCTAACTTGGCGATCTTTTTCTTCTTCTTTTTAAAAAATATTTATTTATTTATTTGGCTGCCCTGTGTCTTAGCTGCGCCATGGGTTTTTTTTTTCCCCTGATCAGGGATCATATCTGGGCCCCCTCTGCAATGGCAACGTGGAGTCTTAGCCACTGGACCACCAGGGAAGTCCCAGAAATATTTTTCATCTAACTGAAGCATTTAGGGATGGGGAATACATGTAAAAAAAAAAAAAAAGATACACTATGGTTGTGATAAAAATAAATAAATTAATTAATTAAAAAAAAAAATAACTGAAGCATTTAGTCCATGCATATTTATTAAAATACTGATACATACACATACATATATATGTGTGTGTGTGTGTGTATGTATGTCAATGTATATGTACTTTATTAATTTGTATTTTTCATGCCTTGATTTCTTTTTCTATTGTTTCTTGTTTTCTTGATTATTTTTTCTTATTCCATTTTTCTCCTTTACTAGTTTGCAAATTATACTTGTTTTTGCTATTCTTAGAGGTTATACTAGAAACTTTAATGTGCACATTTTGCCTGTTTGACATTAACCAATATCTTTTCTCTTAAATAAAACAAGGACCTTAGAACTAATTCTAATCACTCCCCTTTTAGCTTATGACTACTTTTATATATTTGAATTTTATCTTTTTTTAAGCTCACAAGACATTGTTAATATTATTTATACAATATTTGTTTTTACTGATACAGGTACCACTTTCTTTGCTCTGCAATCCTTCTTGTCTTTAAGTTCTTCCATCTGGAATTACTTTCTTTCTGTTTGCCAGTGGCAAATATAGTTTTGTTCATCTCATCATATCATTATTTTTTACTTATTCTTAAAATATCTTTTCACTTGTTTTAGAATTCTTGTCTGACAATCATTTTCCCTCAGCACATTAAAAATACAATTCTACTATCTTCCAGCTGTTAAGAAATCACCTGTTTTAGTCTAATTGTCACTACTTTGAAAATAATCTCCTATTTAAGACTTCATCTTTGGCAATCTGCATTTTCACTATGATATGTCTACTTGTGGGTTTCTTTTGATTAATTCTTTTGAGGATTTACCAAGATTCTTGAATGCATGAATTGATGGATTTCTGGATGAATCTCATCCACTAACTATTCCAATATTACTTCTGTCTCATAATCTCTCTGCTCTCCTTCTGAAACCTCTGATTATATGTATTTTGGACCATCTCAACCTATCCCCCATATCTTTTAACTACTGTTTCATATTTTCCATCTTTTTATTTCTCTATGCAGAACTTTAGAGAATTTCTTCAGTTCTGTCGTCCAGTTATAATTTTATTGTGCCTGATATAGTCAATTGTGTCTAATCTTCTATTTAACACAACCATTGAATTTG